CAGACTTCACCATTGGAATCAGCGTCCAAAACTGTACCCATGGACCAGTTTTTATGAAAATCTAAGGGGGTCCGAATGTGATTCTGAAAGTGAATCTGAATGCCCTAGGGGCCAAAGTATATGTGGCGATAAACAGACTTCACCGTTGGAATCAGCGTCCAAAACTGTACACATGGACCAGTTTTTATGAAAATCTAAGGGGATCCCCCTTCGCCCCTAAAAAACTTTGAATGCCTCTAGGGGCCAAAGTATAATATGTGGCGAAAAACAGACTTCACCATTGGAATCAGCGTCGAAAACTGTACCCATGGACCAGTTTTTATGAAAATCTAAGGGGGTCCCCCTCCGCCCCAAAAAACTTTGAATGCCTCTAGGGGCCAAAGTATAATATGTGGCGAAAAACAGACTTCACCATTGGAATCAGCGTCCAAAACTGTACCCATGGACCAGTTTTTATGAAAATCTAAGGGGGTCCCCCTTCACCCCAAAAAACTTTGAATGCCTCTAGGGGCCAAAGTATAATATGTGGCGAAAAACAGACTTCACCATTGGAATCAGCGTCCAAAACTGTACACACGGACCAGTTTTTATGAAAATCCAAGGGGGTCCCCCTTCTCCCAAAAAACTTTGAATGCCTCTAGGGGCCAAAGTATAATATGTGGCGAAAAACAGACTTCACCATTGGAATCAGCGTCCAAAACTGTACACTGGACCAGTTTTTATGAAAATCTAAGGGGGTCCCCCTTCCCCAAAAAAACTTTGAATGCCTCTAGGGGCCAAAGTATAATATGTGGCGAAAAACAGACTTCACCGTTGGAATCAGCGTCCAAAACTGTACACATGGACCAGTTTTTATGAAAATCTAAGGGGGTCCCCCTTCGCCACCAAAAAAAACTTTGAATGCCTCTAGGGGCCAAAGTATAATATGTGGCAAAAAACAGACTTCACCATTGGAATCAGCGTCCAAAACTGTACCCATGGACCAGTTTTTATGAAAATCTAAGGGGGTCCCCCTCCGCCCCAAAAAAAACTTTGAATGCCTCTAGGGGCCAAAGTATAATATGTGGTGAAAAACAGACTTCACCGTTGGAATCAGCGTCCAAAACTGTACCTACACATGGACCAGTTTTTATGAAAATCTAAGGGGGTCCCCCTTCGCCCCCAAAAAAACTTTGAATGTCTCTAGGGGCCAAAGTATAATATGTGGCGTAAAACAGACTGCACCATTGGAATCAGCGTCCAAAACTGTACCCATGGACCAGTTTTTATGAAAATCTAAGGCGGTCCCCCTTCGCCCCCAAAAAAAACTTTGAATGCCTCTAGGGGCCAAAGTATAATATGTGGCGAAAAAACAGACTTCACCATTGGAATCAGCGTCCAAAACTGTACCCATGGACCAGTTTTTATGAAAATCTAAGGGGGTCCCCCTCCGCACCAAAAAACTTTGAATGCCTCTAGGGGCCAAAGTATAATATGTGGCGAAAAACAGACTTCACCATTGGAATCAGCGTCCAAAACTGTACATATGGACCAGTTTTTATGAAAATCTAAGGGGGTCCCCCTTCCCCCAAAAAACTTTAAATGCCTCTAGGGGCCAAAGTATAATATGTGGCGAAAAACAGACTTCACCGTTGGAATCAGCGTCCAAAACTGTACACATGGACCAGTTTTTATGAAAATCTAAGGGGGTCCCCCTTCGCCCCAAAAAAACTTTGAATGCCTCTAGGGGCCAAAGTATAATATGTGGCGAAAAACAGACTTCACCATTGGAATCAGCGTCCAAAACTGTACCCATGGACCAGTTTTTATGAAAATCTAAGGGGGTCCGAATGTGATTCTGAATGTGAATCTGAATGCCCTAGGGGCCAAAGTATAATATGTGGCGAAAAACAGACTTCACCGTTGGAATCAGCGTCCAAAACTGTACACATGGACCAGTTTTTATGAAAATCTAAGGGGGTCCCCCTTCGCCCCTAAAAAACTTTGAATGCCTCTAGGGGCCAAAGTATAATATGTGGCGAAAAACAGACTTCACCATTGGAATCAGCGTCCAAAACTGTACACATGGACCAGTTTTTATGAAAATCTAAGGGGGTCCCCCTTCCCCCAAAAAAACTTTGAATGCCTCTAGGGGCCAAAGTATAATAAGTGGCGAAAAACAGACTTCACCGTTGGAATCAGCGTCCAAAACTGTACACATGGACCAGTTTTTATGAAAATCTAAGGGGGTCCCCCTTCGCCCCAAAAAAACTTTGAATGCCTCTAGTGGCCAAAGTATAATATGTGGCGAAAAACAGACTTCACCATTGGAATCAGCGTCCAAAACTGTACCCATGGACCAGTTTTTATGAAAATCTAAGGGGGTCCCCCTTCACCCCAAAAAACTTTGAATGCCTCTAGGGGCCAAAGTATAATATGTGGCGAAAAAACAGACTTCACCATTGGAATCAGCGTCCAAAACTGTACACACGGACCAGTTTTTATGAAAATCTAAGGGGGTCCCCCTTCTCCCAAAAAACTTTGAATGCCTCTAGGGGCCAAAGTATAATATGTGGCGAAAAACAGACTTCACCATTGGAATCAGCGTCCAAAACTGTACACATGGACCAGTTTTTATGAAAATCTAAGGGGGTCCCCCTTCCCCAAAAAAACTTTGAATGCCTCTAGGGGCCAAAGTATAATATGTGGCGAAAAACAGACTTCACCGTTGGAATCAGCGTCCAAAACTGTACACATGGACCAGTTTTTATGAAAATCTAAGGGGGTCCCCCTTCGCCACCAAAAAAAACTTTGAATGCCTCTAGGGGCCAAAGTATAATATGTGGCAAAAAACAGACTTCACCATTGGAATCAGCGTCCAAAACTGTACCCATGGACCAGTTTTTATGAAAATCTAAGGGGGTCCCCCTCCGCCCCCAAAAAAACTTTGAATGCCTCTAGGGGCCAAAGTATAATATGTGGTGAAAAACAGACTTCACCGTTGGAATCAGCGTCCAAAACTGTACCTACACATGGACCAGTTTTTATGAAAATCTAAGGGGGTCCCCCTTCGCCCCCAAAAAACTTTGAATGTCTCTAGGGGCCAAAGTATAATATGTGGCGTAAAACAGACTGCACCATTGGAATCAGCGTCCAAAACTGTACCCATGGACCAGTTTTTATGAAAATCTAAGGCGGTCCCCCTTCGCCCCCAAAAAAAACTTTGAATGCCTCTAGGGGCCAAAGTATAATATGTGGCGAAAAACAGACTTCACCATTGGAATCAGCGTCCAAAACTGTACCCATGGACCAGTTTTTATGAAAATCTAAGGGGGTCCCCCTCCGCACCAAAAAACTTTGAATGCCTCTAGGGGCCAAAGTATAATATGTGGCGAAAAACAGACTTCACCATTGGAATCAGCGTCCAAAACTGTACATATGGACCAGTTTTTATGAAAATCTAAGGGGGTCCCCCTTCCCCCAAAAAACTTTAAATGCCTCTAGGGGCCAAAGTATAATATGTGGCGAAAAACAGACTTCACCGTTGGAATCAGCGTCCAAAACTGTACACATGGACCAGTTTTTATGAAAATCTAAGGGGGTCCCCCTTCGCCCCAAAAAAACTTTGAATGCCTCTAGGGGCCAAAGTATAATATGTGGCGAAAAACAGACTTCACCATTGGAATCAGCGTCCAAAACTGTACCCATGGACCAGTTTTTATGAAAATCTACGGGGGTCCGAATGTGATTCTGAAAGTGAATCTGAATCTGAGGCTGTCTTGACAGACGTCATGGGAAGTAGTGTTGACGAGAAAATGGGTTTTTGGTTCAGATTATTGTGGGTGCAGAATACATTGTCTGCACCCACTGGAGAAATATTGTGGGTGCAGCTGCACCCTTGCACCCATGGTTCCTACGCTTATGGCCAGCGGGATGGGATAAGGAATTCAGAGTGAGCAATATACTTCTACAGTGACGAACAACCGAGCCGTTTAAAGGGACCCTCCCACCTTCAAAGAAGTTTATGAATTGGCATGAAAGTGATGTCGCTCAGTTCAGAAAGAGCGAAAACGAATATCTACCAAATTTCACCGAAAAATATTCACCGGTTTTCAAGATATTAGACTTTTACTTTTGTTTACTTTTTTGGGATCTCCGCTGTTTCTAGCGACTTTATTTTAGAAGTGCGGCGTTTGCGGCAGATGTTGCGCGCAAATAGCATATACCACCGCGTGCTACAAAACGTTTTAGTCAAACATTTAAAATCGTTAGATATTTGCGCTGACGTCACACATTCAGAGGGGTATTCCTAAGCATTAGCCCCTCTGAATCAAAATGCTGCAATTTTGAAATTCAATATTTCCGATTTAGGGCATTTCTCGATGTTGTGAGTGCCGAAACCGGTAATTGTGAGTCAGGGACCCCATTTTGGCTATCTCAACTCAAATCTAATGTTAAGGTGGGAGGGTCCCTTTAATCAAAAGTAGGTAGGTAGCCGGTAGGTATCTGGAATAAGGTCACTCGTCTCAAACAGTCATGAACTAATTACCCGTGGCTTAGCCGTGCCGTGCTGCGGCTACGGCTTTTTTTTAGGAGATAGCTGACGGCTGACCCTAGACCAAAGTCAAACCCTCAGAGCTGGGTCGAAGGCTGGGTGGAGGGTTCGCGGTGACCGTCAGGGCGTCGCTGCAAGTTGCAACGGTTAGGGACAGTGATAATGGGTGATCAGGGTGAGCAACTAGCAAGTCCCCGTAATGGACAAGGGCGGGTGAACGTGAGCCTGCAAATGCGAAGATATACCTGTTACCTGACAATCAACATTTCGCACACAGCCCCGATTCTATAGGCATACCATTACCGACGCAGTCCCTTTTTATGCTCCACAGCCTCACCTTCCGACTATCTGTATAAGCTGTAGTTGTGTCAATGCATGCTAGATGTCAGCACTATGCAGGGCCGTCGGCGGCCGACCAGCTGATGGGTCGCCGCTGGGCGCGCTCGCGTCAGAACGCAGAGCCGGCCGGTCGGCTGGAGTCGTACGTTTAGTGCCGGAGTGGTGAGGGGTGCAGCGCATGGTGTGAGGGTTTGTGCGGTGAAGTGTCAGCACAGGTGTGTTTCAGTGACATTAGTGCGCAAACCGTGACAGCTATGCGATTCCCGATGAGTTCGCGACGCTCGTGAAGAGCTCCTGAAGTGGTTTTCCTCGCAGGTGGGTCCAAACTCCAAACCGGTCCGGCGTTCTGTGTTTTGAATGTCAATGTGTGGGTTGGATGAAGCGATAATTGTTGACAGATGCTTTTCGTACCGGCTAGACATTTGCTGATTTCGTCGAACCTCCCTGGTTTTATCTAAGCCGAGTCGCCTCGCTGTCACGCTGCGTCCAGTGTCCACTGTCATTGAACTTCAGAAATCGGCTCGATCCGCCTTGACCTTGAACGCGAGGCAGAACGAACGACGGGACAGGCGATACGAATCGTGGTCACGTTTTCCTAAAAAAGTCGGAAGGCTGAGCGTTGACATCGGATGATAAAATCAGGAATCAGAATGGGAAAGGACGGAGGACCTGGGGCTGGGACCCGGGATAGACCTCGTTCGGTAAACGCGCTCGTGACATAACACCGGTGGTCAACGTGGTGTGAATGCAATAGGATAATTTCCAATAATATCAATGTGTAGAAGTGCGTGCTCTGAAATCGCCTGCACGTTTCACATTCGACTTGGCCTGGAGTCGTTCAACAACAAATACCGCGCTTGCGCTCGACGAAATTTGGTTTGTGATTCGTCGAGGGTTCAATCGAATATGTTGCGTTCCAATATTTTTCTTTATCCTTTTGATTTAATTCCGACCGAGCCCCTCCTTTGGCCTCATACCAACTTGCATTTATGCTAAAGTCTCCCTTTCTCGACCCTCTCCAATCACGGCAGCGTTCCCCGTTCATGCTCCAGTCCTCACATGGGCCACACACAGGACTGCATAGGGGGAAGGGGAGGGGGAGGGGCTGGACAGCGAACACTGGACACCCGACCATCATTGGTTGTCCCTTCCTCTCCGGAGTCCGTGGATCCAGCCGACAGCCGTCTTCTTCTTCTTCTTCTTTGTGGGTTAGGGCGCGCAGCCGTCAGGCCCTAGCGTCCAACTTCTTCGTTTCTTGCATTCAACTGTCCGATCTTCCACGATGTAGTGTCGGGGTTGGTAGGTACTAAGCGGTAACTAAGCAGGGTTGTGGGTAGCCGGAAAAGGAAAAACCTAGGGAAGGACAAATGCCAGGGGAGGAAATTGCCGGGGAAGGATTAAGCCAGAAGGAACAGACCTGAGTAGCAGTGTTAGTGTTAGTTTGATTGGGCAGCAATCTACAAAATGATGAAAGAAAGATCAATACTCTTCTAGTCAGAGTGTTACCAGGTAATCAGAGAAAGAGAGAGCGAGAGAAATTCAGACCACTCTACGAGCTAGCTATATATACTACCAAATACTGAAGGAAAGGAGAGAAGAGAAAACACGAACCACAGAGGACATGTGCTCAGAGTGCACTGTTGTTTCACTTAGACCTTCCGTAACGTTCACATTAGACCTCCACAGAGACGAATCAGTAATCAAAACACACCGAAAGAAAGTTTCCAAAGCCTAGAATCACCACACAAAAACAGGCAAAAGTAACATCATCAGTGGGGGCGGCAAGTAAGTAGCCGCCAATCAAACATTACACAGTTGTTAGAAGTACTGTCAATTCCGGTATATCAATAGAACCCGCCGCATTTACAGTTTGTCAAGCAGCTCACAATCGCGCAAGAAAAGAAACACTGCGTCCAATACATTAGGTGCTGTATCACCGAGCAGAGTCGCAATTGTGAACGGGAGACCAGCATCTCCACATGTTCGTCGCAAACGTTGGCGTGTCGTGCGATATTGAGGGCAATCAATTAGGAGATGTTTGACATCGATAATGCATCGACAAAGTGTACACAACGGTGGTGGAGCACGATCCATGACATGCGAGTGCGTAAGGAGTGTATGGCCAAGTCTCAGGCGACACAGCACTACTTCTTCTTGGCGACTGTCACGAGCGCCGGACGTCCACCTTCCTATGGTAGGCTTAATCGTCTTAAGGTGAGTGGGCCGAAACTCTTGCCATAAGGTAGCAAATTGGTCTCGAACGCGCCGTCGGACCTCTGGGACATATTCACGATAACCAACTGCGACCGGTGTAACCTCTGGTTTGTCATGTGCTTTCCCGGCCCAATAGTCAGCTCGCACATTTCCAGATATACCGCTATGTCCCGGTACCCATATAAGAATGCACCTCATTCCATCCTCGGCAATGCGATGGTTTAATTCTAATATAGAGGTAAGTAACGGGTGCCTCGTGGTGCCGTGCGCCATGCCTAACGCTTTCACAGCCGATTGAGAATCGGTGCATATCAAGGAACGTGGAATGCGATGGGTGCAGACAAACTTCAGGGCTTCTAGTATAGCTACTAGTTCGCCTGTATAAATAGAAAGACCTTCCGGTAACTTAAACGAAAAGAAAGCATTGTTAATGGTGAATGCACAAGCCACCGACTCATGCCGCTTGGATCCATCTGTGTACAGTATCCGATATCCAGGGTACTCGCTGATAAGAGTCTGAAACTCGGCCTGCACGTCTATCGTGGAGCGGCTCGCTTTATCCTGGTTAGTTAGCAGGCGCGTCGTGACACACGGCAGAATCCACGGTGCCAAAGGCGCTGAGGGTTTGACAAGGCCTGTCGGTGGTTCATAATCGAAGTCGGCAATCATGCGCTGGAGGCGTAAGCACACCGTGAATCCAGAAATTCTGCGAAGATATTGGTCTGATAATCCTCGGTAGAGCTCCTCAGAGGCGGTCAAGTCTGTTATACTGTGACAAGGGTGGTGTTCATCACTCAAAACCTTCAGAAAATACCGAAGGAATAACTCTTTGCGACGGAGAGATAACGGGGGAATATCGGCATCAACCTGCAATGCTCGAACAGGAGAGGTGCGTAAGGCCCCCGTTGCAACTCTCAAACATGCATTCTGAAGAGTCTCGAGAGATTCGACTCGTCGCGTGTGTGGACCATCGATAATGTATGAAGCGTATTCCAAGATTGGTCGAATCATTGCTTTATACATTCGGGTCAATATGATTCGGTCTGCCCCATAGCTCTTTGCAGCGACGCATTTAAGCACGGCCATCCTCTTTTGGACCCGGCTTTTAATATACTCTACATGGGAATGTAAGTTCATTCGGGAGTCGAGAATAACTCCAAGGTATTTCACCTCATCAACAATGGGAATGGGGTCATTATTGATGCACAAAGGAGGGAACACTGATAGGTCGACCCTTCGTAATCCACGTCGGAAAAGGATCGCATTAGACTTGGTACTAGAAAATGTAAACCCAGTGCCTGAAGCCCACTCACCAATATTGTTAAGGGCATCTTGCAATTTCCGAAATAGCTTCGGGATTCGTCGCCCTTGCACCCATATGGTGACATCGTCAGCATAAATTGCGTACGAAACTCCTGGGGGTAGCACGTCGGCGATGGAATCGATGGCAAGGTTGAATAAGATAGGTGAAATCACGCCCCCCTGCACGATGCCATAATTCTGCATAAATGTATCAGATAATGTGCCGCAGCGGACCTGAAAGGTGCGATCTTTCAAGAAATTCTGAATAAAATGCATGATGTGACCTCGGAAACCCGTAGCATACATGCGATGCAGTAATACCGTAGGGGAGACCAAGTTATATGCAGATTTTATATCGAGGAACACAGCCAAAGTGCTGGCATGGTGAAGAAAACCGTCACGTACATGTGTGTCCAGACGGACAAGATGGTCAGCCGTGGATTTATCAGGCCTAAACGCACATTGATATTTGGTGAGTAGCCCGTGCTCTTCCACACACCACGTTAGACGCTTCCCAATCATGCGTTCCATTAACTTGCACATGCACGACGTAAGTTGTATAGGTCGGTAAGATGAAACCTGGTTGACATCCCTTCCTGGCTTCGGAATGGGAATCAGGTAAGAATGGCGCCATTCTGAGGGGAAAACATCGTTTGTCCAAATATAATTATACAGCTTCAGAAGTTGCCGAAGCTGAGGGTCAGTCATATGGCGAAAGAAATCATAATGTATTTGATCTGGTCCTACCGAGGTTGAACCTGATCGATGAATAGCCTCAGTTAACTCCCTGAGTGAAAACTCTCTATTGTAAACTTCCTGGTTGTCCGAGCAAAAACTTGGCATTGACCTTGCCATGTCTCGTTCTCTGAGCAGGAAGTCCCTGGAGTAGTTAGCTGGCGAGCTAAGTTCCTCAAAGAACTGCCCGAAGGCGTTAACCACTTCTGTGGGGTCATCAATAACTCTGTCATGTTGGACAAGGACTGGTAAGCGTCTAGTTAGCCTGGTTTTGTGAGAGAACTTCCTCAAGATATCCCATAGTTTACTCATCGGAGTACGATGGTTAAACAGTGATACCAGTTCTCTCCACGATGACATTTGTGCCTGCCGTAGGATCCGTCTAGTTTGCGCTTTCACCTTACGGTACACCAATCGGAGAAATACAGAATGAACGTCTCGACGCATTCGGTTATGTGCCCTACGTCGGTTCCTTATCGCCTCCCTGCAGGCGTCTGTCCACCAGGGGCACTGATATTTGGAATTCCCTTTCCGGATGGGTACGTACGTCATCGCGGTGTCAATGATAGTCTGTGTGATATTCGCACAGTTTTGGAGACCCAAACTGTCAGCAAATTGTAGATCGCAGCTCATCTGAAACATCGTCCAATCAGCCTTCCTCACATTCCACCCGGTGAATATGGGTGGTAAACTAGGGGAGGGGTAAGACTGGCAATGACGAATATGTATCGGGAAATGATCACTGCCGTGCAAGTCCTTGTCTGTTGTCCAGTCAAACAGGTGAGCAATTTCACTGGAAACCAAGGTCAGGTCAATATGGGACTCTGCACCAGTGGCTTCATCCAGTCGAGTCGGCTGGCCGTCATTGAGAATGCGAAGATCATGGTAATTCACAACATCCATCCAAATTATACCTCGAGGGTCACAGCGATCTGAGCCCCACAAGTAGTGCTTACTATTCGCATCGGTGCAAATAAGATATGGGGTAGGGAGCTGAGAGAGCAGCGTTACGGTCCAAGGCGGACATGAGGACAGGTGGCGCCTCCGCCACTCGCATAGCGGCG